CAAAATCTGGTGGGGTTTAATTGACAGAAAACTCAGTGGGAGAACACCCTCTTGCTCAAGATTTCACATCAGGGCCCTCTCAGATAATCGCTTAGGCAGATCCCTGAGACCCTTTGATCTGCTTGTGTAATGCTTGCCATGCCAACTTCAAAGGGAGTAGCGTGCACATGCATGTGAGGGGCTGATCTTACCCTGTGAATTTCAGCAAGAAGAGGTTTCTCCTAACTGCCCCTACCCTAGCCAGAGCAAAGTGTTAGTTTAGAGGAGTTTCTTAGGGATTGGGGCTGGGTTGACCCGCCACCCTCGATCTAGCTCCCCTCCTCCAGCAAGCCTGGGTTGGTGGTAGCATCAGGAAAGCTGGTTCCAAACAGCACATTTAGCTATTGAGTGGAAGAATGTGCCAGGCCCCTAACAGACCTGGCTAATATTTAACATTTCATTTTAATTTTATTAAGTGTATTTAAGGCTGGCGAAAGCTGCCAAAGTGCACTGAAGACTGATGTCTTCTGTTTAATCTGAACACCATACAGTGCTCAAGCGACAGCCCTGCCCTCTTCCCTCAGCCTTTCCAGCCCATGTGCCTCAAGTCCTGACCTGCATAGACAGACTCCAGGGTGGGAAGGGCAACTCAGGCCTTGTCCACACACAAACTTGCCCCCTTTAGTTAATGCTGCTTAAGTGGACTCTGTAATTTCAGTTTTCAGAGTGGTGCTGCCCACAAGGGATGACCATTTTGGTGATGAATTTTTGTGGTGAGGGCATTTATCCACTGGAAGTTGGAGTGACACTTGCATCAAATTGTCTAGCCATTTGGCCATTTGGTCAGGCAAGGTTGCTTTATGAGGCCTCATCTTGCTGATGTTAATATCTACCATCATAGTATATAAGCACTGATTATGAACCAGCCCCGCCGTGTATATTCCTTGCAACTCTCTCTATTTCAGAGGGGCTGCTAAGGATGGAATGCCATGGCAGCCCCAGCTCAGTTAGAGTAGCAAGTGAGTCACAGTAAAAAAGAGAAACATAGTCAAACTCCCTAGTATCTATGGGGCTGAAAAATGCAGCTCTCCACCCCCATCTGTTTGCTTGTTTCATTCTGTTTAGTTACATTTCGCCTTTTAGACTGTAACTGTAAATGAAATTCGGGTGTAAAACGGTGGCCCTGAGTCTGATCTCACCTACCCGGTTTATATCAGTACAGTAAACTTCCGAGAATCCGGCACCTGTAGGACCCAGGGGGTGCCGGATTATCAGATATGCCGGACTATCAGAAGGGGGGGCTCTGAGGGGTCTGGAGTGGGGTGGGAGGGGATGCCACCCCAGATCTCTCATAGCCCCCCCATACGATAGTCTGGCTCTGCCCCAGGCGTCGCTGATTCAGCCGCTGCTGGTCAGTTTCAGCAGCAGCTGAATTGCTCTTGGGGACGCCTGGGACAGAGCAGCTAGGGTACTGCCCGGTTGGTCCCGTAGCGCTGCCCCGCGGGGCTGCGGGACCAACCCGGCAGCACCCCAGCTGCTCTGCTCCCAGCTTCCCCGATTCAGCTGCTGGTCAATTTCAGCAGCAGCTGAATGGGGGAAGCCTGTCCGGCTGCCCCAGCACTTCCGGGTTCCTGATGGTGCCGGACCATCAGGAGTCCCGGAGCATTGGATGCCGGACTAATGGAGTTTTACTGTACTATCTCCCCTGAAATCAGTGAAAATACTAAGGGTTAAAACTGGTGGGAGACCAGAATCAAGCCCATGGAATTGGTCAGTCCTGTCCTATCTACCTCATATGAGTTTACATGACAATGTATGACCCTAAGATTTGGAGCGAAAGTAGATTTCTGTACCAAGAATGAAAGAAGGATCAGATTCTATACCCATGTTCACGTGATGGAGTCTCTTCATGCATGAGTGGTCTTATTGATTTAATTGGTACTACCCCTTGAATAGTCACACAGTTCAGCATGAGTAAGGTTGGTGGAATCCTCTGATTAGTTGGCAGTACCAGTCTAGTGGGTAAGCATGTTGAGAAAGCTGTAAAGAAGATGATGAGGAGTGGAAGGATTGAATTTGTCATTGTGTCACCCTTTCCAAGAAAAACAGTCGTTATCTCTGTTAGAGTGTGAGTGTGTGCAAATTGTGTGTGGATTTTTATGAGAGTGTGTGGAAGTGTGTACATGAGTAAAGTGTGAATCACACATATTATATCTCAGCATCGACAGACAGATGAATTCTCTCAGGCATGCGCGTGCTTCTGAGTCTGCCTATCTGTCTAAAATCCACATAGCCACATGTGGGTGCATGTGCTTCAGAAGAGAGAGAAAGGGATCTGCGCAAGAATGTGCGTTTGTAAATGTTTTAGTGTTGAGCAAGCTCTCTGCGGAACAAAACCAGATGTTTTTATGAGTCCTTAGCTCTTAACTGTTTTGTCATACATTTTGTCTTATTTGGGAAAGGAAAAAGTCACAGCAATTCCTTTGAAGGCATGAGGAGAGAGTTATTTTTAAGGTGGAATATAATTTTGAATATCAGAAAGTAGGAGGAGATAAAAATAGCCCTATTTTGTGTCAAAGGAAGGGCTTACTCCCTTGTGGGGAGGACAGAACACCCCTCCTCCTTTGAGGCGGCTTCCTGTCCCTATTGTTCACTTCTGTGTCTGTACACTGCACATGGATTTTTTTTTCTTTTTCTGGAGAATTTGCAGAGAGGAGGCAGCAAGTTAAGTTGTAGCATGAGCTGGCTGTACGGTTCTCATTGCAGAAAGACTGGCACAGGGCAAGGTGATTACCAGGCTGTGATTTTCCTGCCAAGAGCTGGCAGAAGAGCATACAAATTGGAAAATTACACCCTCTGCAGCCTACAGGACAGCTGCTGCTCCACACTCAGACACGTTTAAGGCCAGATCCTCATCTGGCATAAGTCACAGTAGTTCCATTGGCATCAGTGGAGTTAGGCCATTTTGCACTAGCTAAGGATCTTGGCCTTAAATCTTCCCAAAGGATAAGCCTAAATTTCCAGTGGCACTGACTAACAAGATGTTACAAAACCTGTATGAGTGGTGTCCTGTGGTTTATACAGTGCACTCAGCACCCAGAGGAATGTAATTTGGTTTGCTTAAAGAGGCGCGGGAGTAACTTTCAGAAGTGGGCTCATTTGTGATGGGCTAATTATCTCTGCCTTTGTGTAAGACCTGGTGTAATTGTTCATCTGTGCTAGAGATCACACTCCCTCCTGTGCTTTGTCAGTGAGTACAAGATTGTACATCTCCATTAAAGGAAATGCCCTGGCTCTGTTTTGGGATCTAATGCATATTTGCACATCAGAGCTGAAATGAGTGGATGTGGCATGGCTTTAAAGCCTCACCGTCCAGCTAGTGTGAAGTGCTATGCACGCACCCTTTCTTTCCCCTATGCATCTGAGCACTGGACAAGCTGTTTGTTTGTCTAAGAGGGCAATGCTGCAGACAATAATATTGCCAGGTTGGGGAATTACTGAACTGCATCTGTAGCGCAGAAGATCCGGTCCTGTGGGGTAGCTGCTGAGAGGCAATCTATAATTCACAAGGCCTTGCTGCTTCATGCAGATGGTGATATTGAAGCATGACTGATGCCAGCAGCACAAAATCTCGGAGGCATTTCCTTTTCCCCCCTTTGTTTGGCTCTTTCCTCCCGGTTTGCTGTGGTTATTACATTAAACCCTTCGCAAGGGCTGAACCATTTCAGCCTTTACTCACAAACATCCCACAAGTTCAGTGGGGGGTGGCTTCTGTGACAATCGAGGTCACTCCGTCCCTTAACAGGGCTGGTTTAAAGCTCAGGAATGACTGGACACACACATGCACTTGCTCCCACTGTCTCTATTTCATTGTTCTAGTTTGGGCTGGGAGTGGCAGGGAGGAAGCAGCCCGTCTCTGAACCAGGGATCAAGCTACAGGATGACATTAACTCTTTATTGGCTGAATACTGGCTGCATCTGGGAAGGCAACTGAAGCATTTTCTATAGTGGCCACTTGATGCTGTTGGCTTAGCATCATCTGGTTGGCAACCCCCACTGGATTGCTAGAGAGCAGCACCATCAACTGGATGGAGCCAGCTGTGGCATGCAGCGGTGGTGGCTCTCCTGGGATTGGGGTAATCAAGGAATGTAAAATATAGAGAAAGGGACTTTGCTGGGAATCTTAGTATGTTATCAATTGACTCTGTAATGCAGATTTTCCTCCCAGTGAGTAATGAAATAATAAATCAGATTTGTGGTGTTCATAAGATTAAATGTTTTTTTGAAGATGAAATCGTCCTCTAGGGCCTTTTATTACCCAAAGCTGAAAGTGCTTCTTTGCTCAATATGTAATTGTTACCAGGCCATTTCTGGGCCACAAAACCACCATTGTTGATTATCAGAGTCTGCAATTCCAACTGCTTCACTGGCGTGAAGAATTTCAAGAGAAGAGAGACAAATCAGAGAAGAGAGCTACTTAGAAGAGGGGAGTGGAAAAACGGTCTTGTGGTTTAAAGCATAGGACAGGGATCAGGGATATGTTCCTGTGCGAACTTGGAAAAGTCACTTAACCCTCCGTGTCTCCGTTTCCTTTCCTGCAATGTTAGAATGATGCTACTTCCCTAAATTGCAGGAGAATATTGTGATTTTTCATCCAGCAATGTTTGTACAGTGCCTTTGTGGTTTCTATGGAAGAGTGCCATAGAAAGCTTGTAAAGGAGCCAACAGAGGGGAGAAAATAAAAGCAGCTCCAAATGATCTGATATCTCACTGCCCCTTTTTAAATAAATCTGCAGTTGTGTAGGCAGGAACATTTATGGCTCTTTTCTAGTCTATCTGAAATATGGCATGTGTTTGTGTGTGGCGGGGGAGGAGGGAGGGAATACTGTGTATAATAATTGTAGTTGCAGACTGTGCTGCCTCTGTAAAAGGCCTTTCTCAGACAGCCAGAGGTGTAAATGGCCATGTTTTTGAAGTTTCGGAGCCAGTTTCAGCCACTTGTTCTCTTGGTTGTTTTGCAGTTCAGTCCTGTGGGGGTCGTTTGAATTCGAAGGAGGCTGGTTACATCACTTCACCTGGATACCCACAGGACTACCCCTCCCACCAGAACTGTGAGTGGATCATTTACGCCCCGGAAGCAAATCAGAAGATTATCCTCAACTTCAACCCTCACTTTGAAATTGAAAAACATGACTGCAAGTACGAGCCTCCCTCCTCTTCTTCTTTACTAGATAAGCTGCTCTTCTTCCTCTCTTAATCTAGTAACATGAGGACCAATCATTCCCAGAAACAGGAAACTGAGTGGCGGTTCCTGTCTCCTAAGCATACCTCATTATATCACCGTCCTTCAAAGTAAGCAGGTGTCTGGCTTACCTTGTAGCAGGCTGTTGTGTGACTCCGTCACACGCAAAGGGAAAGTGAATTCCAGCCTCCGGTATCTGATACATAGTGCTCCTTGGCTCATGGGAAGTATTAGTTTGGTTTCCTGTCCTGCTGCTGATTCTGCTGCACTTGGTGAATTGTGATTTTTAAGGAGAGATCAGGAAGCAGGATATCCAGGAAAATCAATTAGCAGCTAGTAAATAATTAACAGCATCAGTGGGCACCATGGAAGGCTGAATTAATGATGTGTCTCTGTGGATGTATAATCCAGTACATACCCTGGGGAGCCCATGACCAACTATTGGGATGTTTGAAATGTGGAAAAGTTTAGGGTCTCCTAAAATGGGCTGAGTTTTTTCACACACAGATTCCCTTTGATTTATGAAAGTATCCACATATGAGACTATAGCAGGGGTGGGCAATACAGCCTTTCTCCGACTTACGAACTGGTTACGGACCAAGCAATTGGTCGTAACTTGGTTTGTTTGTAAGTCGGACCCCATTGAGTTACACGCGACCGCGCTGTTCATAAGCGTGGATCGCGTTTGTAACTCGGGGTCCGCCATTTACGATAGTTTCGGTTGTAACTGCGAACGGTCGTAAGTTAACCATTCACAACTCGGGGACCGGCTGTATGTTTGATGGGGGGCCACTCCAAGAATTTGGAAAATGGTTGAGGACCGCACTCTTCCATGATATTAATGAAGGAGGTGCAGAGTTTGGGATGGAGGTAGGAGCAGAAGGGAGCTTGGGGCAAGAGAGGGAGTTTAGGTGAAGGAGGCAGTTGTGATCTGGGGCACTGGATTGGGATGCAGGGGGTTGGATTGTGACCTAGGGCAGGAAATTGGGATACAGGGATTTGGGTTGTGAGCTAGGGCAGGAGGGGACTGTGATCTGGGGCAGAGGATTGGGGTGCTGGATCCGGGAGGGTACATGGATATAGGAGGGGGCAGAGGATTTGGGTATGTGGCGAAGGGGGTAGGAGTGGGGGGCAGAGGGTTGGGGAAGAGAGAGCCTGGGGTGCCAGAGGTTGGCTCTGCCAGGAGACTTACCAGCCAGAAGAGGTTCCTGAATCAGCCTCCCTGCCTGCCTCGCTCAGCACAGGCTAGAGCCCCTTGTGCTTGTGGCTACCTGTTATTGAAACGGGCAGCTCTTATTGGCCAGTTTCTGGCAAGAAAACAGCCAATGGGATTGTTCTGGAGACAGGAGCA